AATTGAAGGAAGCACAGATATAGAAATTTGTGTCTCACAGAAACCCAAGACCTTTGTTTGTAATTTTTGAGAGTCAGGCTGCTCCATCAAGGCTCAGGCTCAACTCTTGGAACCCCTCCCAAGGTCCTGACCTTGATGATGTATCCAGGCTCCAAACAGGTTTTCCAGAACACTGCAGTGGGTCTTAAGACTGTGACATCTGAGCCCCCATGGCATTATTCCAGGAAGCATCAGTTGTCCCAGCCTGCTTCTAGTTTTGGTCTGTGGCAGCAGGAAGGAGGAGACTTTGGAGCTGCACAGTAAGGTAAGTATATTATAGTTGGTTAATCCTAGGTAAATTGACTCTCCAAAGAATCTGCACCAATTCACCCAACATCAGTGTGTGATACCGACATGACATAATTAATTTTTTAAATGTTTGTCAATTTGCAATTTGGAAAATGTAATCTCACTATTTTATCTCCATTGTTGCCTGTGCTGTTGAGCTCCTATTCCTTTATATTGGCCATTTGTAGTGCTGTAAATGACCTGTTCAATTTGTTGCTAACTTTTCTATTGCTATTTTTTTGTAGATGTATGTTTCTTGAGTTGTTTCATCAGAGTTCTCTTTATATCCTAAATATTATTCTTTAATCTGTTCTAACTGAAAAACATATTTGCTCCCAGCATCTCACTTCCCTTTTCATTTTATTTCTTCTGTCTTCTCATATGACTGCTTTTCATTTGGGGTGTACATACTGGCTGCTTTATTTAGCTCCCACCACAGCCTTGCAAGGTTGTAATACTTGCCCCAATTTTCAAACTGGGAATACAAGACTTTGAGAAGGTACAATGATTTACCCCCAGATGCTAATTGGAGATCCTAACCTTTGCGTGTGCAAGAATCAGAAACCAAGTAATGAGTTGGGCTCATGGTAGGCTCATGGTAGGCTTGCAGAAGAATGAGACATGGTATTGGGTCTGCTGAACAGAACACTGTAATGAGGGTAAGGAGATCTGAAGGCCAGACCCAGACCCATCGCTGACTGTGACCTTGGCCAAGTAACTGACTCTCTCCTGGCCTCTTCTCTAAAGTCAAAGCAATAGTTCTGATCCTCACTTCATGAGTTTGGGTGAAGGGGAATTCTTGGGCCCAAGCTGGGCTGAAAAAGAAGAAGATGTGCTATTCCTCCAGCAGTCATTTTGGCAGCCGATAGTCCTCCTCATTGCAAGCTCTCAGTTATTGCTAGTGTCTTCATGATTTTCATGCAAATGGATGCTGGGCCAGGTCTGGAGGACAAATGACATCCAAAGCCCACTCCCAATGTGCCTGACCTCAAGGAAACTGCTGAGTGTTGGCTCTGGGCCCAGTTCAACACCTGCTGCTGTGGAAGGGGCATCCCGCTTAATCCTCAAAGCCCTTCTGTGAGGCAGAAACTATTATTCCTATGAGCGTCTGTACTCACCCCCCCCCCCCAAAAGTGTAACAACATCAGTCCTCAACCCCTTGAGAATGCTGTGGAGAGTAATGAGGTAAATCTGACAGCACTGGGAGACATTAGGGAGCATGAAGCATGATACAAATCCAACTGATTAATGATCCAGTCAACTGCAGAAAGAACAACAACAACAACAGAGCTGTTTCTGGTCCATATAAGATAAATGGTAACTGTTATTACTATTCATTATTAAATGCCCACTGATGATAATATGCCTGGCAGAGTTACAAATGCCAACTCCCCAAATCATGGCCTCTGTCCTCCAGGGAAATATGGCAAGTCACCGTTACTGGGTGCCAGGTTTTGCCTGGCACTCCTCTACATGTTTTATCCCATTTAGTTCTCATGGCAAATAGAGAACATAAGGATTATGATTTCTAGGTTTAGCTCCTGCCTCTAGGAAGAGATAGGTCATATTACCCCCAGAGGACACCTGTGAGTAAGTAACCCAAGGTCAACGCTTTGCAATCCATGCTCTACGGTGTGTGCTGTGAATGGTTTATGGGTGCCCCTGAAACGTATAGGGTCTTGTCAGCTCTTGAGTGGCCAATGAGGGCCTAAGGCAGCCTCTTCTGTTCATATCAATGTTTCATACAAGTATTACCCCAATTGGTTAAGAATCACCAATATCAAGTTCCACCTTCACACACCATACACATCATCGTTATGTGCATTATCATGTGTATAAAATAAATAAATAAATAAACAAACAAACAGACAAACAAACAAATAAATAAAACAGAAGACGTATCCACTCCCCAAGTGGTGTAGAATTCTTTTTTATTTCCATTGTCATTGAGAGTACACTTAATGTAGCTGCTCACCAACCCATCTGCTCTATGAATTTCAGCAGAGTCCAAGTCCAGACCTGACGTCTTCAGCCTCCCATGAATCCTACTTCCCCATATGTAATCCCTATCTTGGTGAATGGCAACCGCAGGCCACCAGTCACTCAAGCTGGAAACGTGAGTGTCATCCTTGGCTCCTCTTTGCCCTTCCCTGCCCTGGCCCACCTCCATAAGACCCATAGGACAGTGCTATCCTACCTTTCCTATGTGAAACATCCCTCAAATCATGCCCTTTGCCTCCACCACCTCTTCCACTAATTTTTAACACACATTTTAAAACCCACAAGTGAGAGGGCGTTCTGTCTGCCTTTCTTGTGTCTGTGACTGACACTAGGAGTGTCTGAAGATGGCCAGGGTTGAACAAAATTAACTGACAGGGTCATGGATATAAGCAAAGCCCACGTTGGCCCCCAACTGGTGAGATCTCAGTACATTTCCTTACACTGTAGTCACAGAAAAACCGAGTCCCTCTTTATAATTGGTGCAGAGAGGATGGTCTCCCAAGAGTGGAACTGGTCTTCACAAGTGTGCTCTCCCTTGAGACGGCTAAAATAGTGAGCTGCCCACCCTGGGAAGTGGAGGGCCCCATGCTGGAAGCCCTGGTGAGATACAGCTTTCCCCATACAGTAAGAAAACAGAAGATTAATGTGATTTGTTAAGGACCCCAATGACGTTTGCTCACTCATTATTCTGCACCTGAAAGGCCCACCATTAGACTCCATCTTTTGCATGAGACCAGTGGTTTTCAAACTGTGCTAGGGAGCTCCCCAGAGGTCTGCAGAATTGCCTCAGGATACCATAAGGAGTAGTGGGTGAAGGGTACATCAGATGTAGTTCTATTTTCCCACTGAGTTACCACCATCGTTTTATTAGAGGAAATAATTCCCCAGTGGTGTGTGGTATTGGGTGAGATTGGACAGTGAGTAGTGGTGCAACTGTCTCTAGGCAACCGTGTCACCCAAGAACATTGACCCCCTTAATATTTTAGCTCTTCTGGGTATGGGACTTCAAGTACAGAATCCCAATCCTTAAGGGGATGAGCTGACACACAGTAGGTCAGGATCCCATGGCTCCTAGCTTGGGACAGTGCTTGGGCTGCACTGCTGTAGTGGAAGGGCTCTTGACTTGCATTGACCAGGGATTGGGTCTTGGCTCTGGATCCCTTGCTGGTGATGTGACCTCAGAATGCAGCTCACACCACTCCCCTTATTTGGGATGATTGGAGAATAAAACGAATAACGTGTAAAGCCCCTGTAACACAGCAGGGTGTGTAATGTTTGGCAGAGCTGAGGACAAACGTTGCCACCTTCCTAAGGCTGCTCAGATTTCACTGGGATAAAGCACTAGAGAGAATGAGGGTAGATGAGGCAAAAAACAGGCTTAATCTCTTGCTCACTTGCACACTCCAATGGCCATCTGTTCACCATAAGAGCCGGGAGATCCTGATGATCCCATCCCCTCTCCTGAGGAACTGTCCACTTTCCTCCCCTACCTGAGCCATCCGCTTGGGTTCAGGAATTGTGACATGGTATAGTTAGGGGCGGGGGTAAGGCAGGAGTACGCAAAGAAGGAGAGCTCAGAAATTGGGTTCAGTCATATTTTAGAAGCAAAGATGGAAAACTGATGACCCACACCTTTCTTTACTGCCGAACTCTGTCTCTTTCCACATGTAATTGCCTTTGTGTGCTCTGACTCTTCATCTGAATATTCAAGGGGTAATGGGGCCCCTCTTAAAATTTACAAGTTGACTCGTTCCTAGTCATAGCAGACAGGAGGCATATTTGAGGTTTTGCAGCTGATTCTGAGCCCTCCACAGCCAGAGCAGAATCAGAAGGCTTAAGGATGTGCACAGCTAGGAGAACATGACTTGCTGAAAACCCAGGTAATCACTTCTATAAATGCCGAGCCCACAGAGGAGGAAGGACCTGCTCAAGGTCAGCCGGAGAGATCATGGTCCCCCAAGCAGGAAGAATAGGGATGTTCATGGGGAGGCATAAGGAGAATATCTTGTGAGTCTGGGGATGGCAGAGGAAAGTATCTTTTGCTGTGAGGCTGTGGAACCCAAAAGCCTGTACAAAGTAGGAGACAGGGAAGGCCACGTGGCTCATCAAAACTAAGAGACGCTGAGGTGGGTGATGGTAACCGAGGTTATATCAACAGCAGAGGTACTTCTTTCAAGAGATGATGTGTCTGGGTGATGGTCAGTCAGCATCTGGTGGGTAGTGGGTAGGTGGCTCTGGGCCTGGGGTGGGGCCTTGAAAAATAAAATTCTCAGATTTGGGAATCAGTAGACAAGGTGGGCTTGTGCTGAGGATGAGGAACAGAAGTGAGGGCTCCTTGTTGACAGGTCCTGCTTTGTTAAATGCTATCTCTGCTGCTTGGGCTTCGAGTGGCTGCTGAGTTGTGCCCTATGTTTATCCACCAGATTTTATAGTAATATTTCTTGTTTCCACAAATATTCATATCCTAAACACACACGCACACGCACGCGCAAACACACGCACATGCACATGCAGAGGTGCACTGTGCACGTGCATGCATAGACTCTCCCTGACAATCCCCGTCATGTCCGGTGACTGATGTGACAGCAGCTATGAAGGAATGAATGCCCAACAGTTTCTCCAGCCCTTAAGAGTTGGAGTTCCTCCCCTTTTTTGGAAAGGACAGATCCAGGATGTGGAGAAGCAGTGATATGGAGCTGAGCATCCGCACTGAATTAGGGGTCAGGTTAGGAGAACAGAGGCACTGTAGGAACATGGGTGGTTCCTAGGCCATCAGGAATGGCTGCTGAGACAACAGACCTAAAGCAAACCTGTCACACTAAGTCAACATCTTCCTCTGTTCTGTACCTATGGGTCCCACCTTGGCTACCCATCAGGGATGTAGGAAAAGGGCTATGAAAAGGCTGTGGGACTCCCAAATGTTGTTTTGTACCTGAACCCTACCCCACCTGAGCTTCATTAATGTTTAAAGACATTGGACCTCTGATCAACTAAAGGATAATTAGTTCACACAGCACACCCTGTACAAGTACTTTTTTCTCTCCTGGATTTGTACAGATGACTATGTGAGTCAGGGAAAAAGAATATTTTGGTGTTCCTGTGTGCTAGTTAGGTTTTTTGATATTAAAGAGCACATCCTATATCTTTGTCTGTTGGACTTGTGATTCTAGGTGTTGCAATATCTAACAGGGCTTCTACATGTTGTTGGGTTAGAGGGACAAATATGCTCCAATCACTCTGACAGACTTCCTCTTCTGACATTATGTTGCAGTACATAACAAGGCCACCATGGGAAGGGGAAAAAAACCCTCATCATGAACATGAACAATCCGTAGTTAGGGAAGAGGTTGCCTGTTGAAGAGACTCAGTCTTGTGCCTGAGTCAGGGTTCTTGGGAGTTGACCATATGTATACGGGTCTAAGAGTTTTTCTTAGGATACAAAGATTCTTTTTGCATGTGTCCCTCCCCCTCTCCTCTATATCAGCACTGCTCGGTTATTCTCAGATATGAAGAGTGTGTGTGGTGTTGGGTCATCCTTGCAGTCATTTCCCTCATCAGGGTCACTGCTTTCCACTGTGAAAAGTTCACTCTTTATTGGCTGAACTCTGTTGCAATGGTGACTGAGAAACCAGCAGCACTGCCCCAAGAAGGAGGGTGTATAGCCTATAGAGCCAAGAAAGATGCTAGCTCCCTCCCTCTACCACCCTCCCACCACAACTGATAACCCCTAGTTCACCTGAGGCTGGCATCAGCATTGCAAGTTACATTGTTGAAAAGTTGAAGCAGAAACAGTCAAGTGTTCCAGCATTTATTTCAGGGCCAGTGACCGAAAAACTGGGGAAAGCAAGGGCATGTGGCAGCTGAGGGGGCTCCATCACCATTCATGGGTCTGCCTGTGGCCCCCGTGAACTCAGTTTCCAAGTGTCTGGTATCCTCCCCTACAAAGGCAAAACAGAATGGCAACTGGACCCTTGGTAACTCTGGGGAAGTGAGGCCTGGCCTGGGGGCTCTCTGGGTCAAGTAGAAGGGGAGGTGTGCTGGCTTGGCTGTGAGCAGTGAGAGGCAGAGGCTGGCTCTGAGCTCTCACCTGAAGGACCTGGTGAAATGTGCCAGGGCTCTCTGGAACCAGCTCCTCCAAGATCCTTGGGGACCAGCAGGCTCTCTGGGTGAGCTTGTGCCATTGGGTGGGTTCTCTGCAGTGTCAAACAAAAAAACAAATTCCTTGGTGTCTTTCACATTCTGAAAAACAAACAGAGCAAGAGTAAATAGCCTCATCCTAGTGGTCCCCATGTTCCCTGACATTCATTAACTCATTTAGTAAGTATTGTGTGCATCCTTGGCCCTATTCCAGGCGTTAGGGATACAGCTGGGACTGCTGTAGCCCACACTCCAGCCGCCTGGGGCTGACATCCTATGGTAAGAGGGAAAGCAGACTCACCAGGTCAGGAGGTGGAAGGAAGGGAGTGAAGATCATACTTCCAGGAGAGTGTGATGTGCCAGAAGTGATGGACAGGACTTCCTTGAAGAGACCAGCTGAACTCCTCACTCTGCTTCATGCAAACAGGCTAAGGGCCTGGCCCCTCCACGCCCCTCTAGCCCCTCTGGCCCTGTCCTGTCCTTCCTCCCTCCCACAGCTGAGTGCACTGTGCTCAAGCAGTGGATACATTTCTGGCATGTGACATCCCCTCTGTTCCTGAGTCTTTACTCCCACCCCTCCTGAGTCTTTTTCTTTTTCTTATTTTCTCTGAACTTCCCAGCAGGCTCAAGCCAGGTTTCTACTTGCTGACCGAAAAAGCAGAGGTGTTCAGGCAGATGGTGAGTTGTCATCTGGTGGGGATGCCATAGACAGGAGTGTTCATTTGGGCCTTCCTTACATGGGAGAGATTCATAAGATTACATACATCAAAGCTCTGGGGAGGTGTATGGGTCCAAACGAGTTATCAAAGCAAGAAGGGTGAGCTAGGTGATGGCATCCATAGTCCAATCAACAGCAGAGCTTTTCCTCTCAGAGAGTTATGTGAGATGCCATGTCTGTGAGTCAGCATCTGGTGGGTAATGGACAGGTGGTTTGAGGCCTAGAGAGCTTGGAAAATGTGGGGGACAAGGGTGGAGGGGCTGCTGTGCTGGCCCAAGTTGAAAGCAGAATAATTAAGGTAAGAGCTCATCGTTGCCTACCTCTGCCATATGAAATTTCATCTTTGACACTTGGGTTACAAGTGAAGCTGTGTAGTTATGCCCCCTTTTTACCACTAAGAACTATGAGAGTCTGTGCCACTGACTACAGGGGAACTCCCTTGCAAACAGTACCTGGAGGGGAAAGAGGAAGGAGGTGGGCTCAGAATCTTTTATTTGGTTTTTGAGAAATAGCGTTGTTTAGGAAAGCATCTCTTACATAGCTCTGAGGATACAGGGCTAATCTTCTCTGGGAGCCTATCAATGGGCCATGGCCTGGGGTCATAGAAATGAATGAAGCTGGGTTGCTACTTCAAGCCACTCTGTGGGAGAGAAGCCAAGAAAAGGATGATTACAGTAGAGAACAATGGAAATAACTTTACATGGCTATGGGAGGAACAAGAAGTGACAGCCATCCAGCCTTGGGAATTAGAATAGAGTCTTGGAGATTTCCCAGAGGAGGCATGCCTAAAATGAGTGAGGGAAAAAGTTGACCAGAAAATAGAGAAAGAGGAGTGCTTCACAAGAAGGATCCCAGGGCAATAAAGTGAGTTTTTGTAACTGAAAAATCAGTAGACCCTGTTCTGGGGATTAAGTAGAAGTCAAGGTCAGTCATGAGGAGTATAAAATGGTGCCACACAGAGGTACTGAACCCTGGTGTTTCAGAAGCAAAAGGGGTGTGTGTGTGTGTGTGTGTGTGTATTTAGATTTGACCACCCATTGATTAGTTTTCCTTTGTGATTCATACTTTTTGAATGAATGTTCTACCTAAGATACCTTTGCCTAACTTCACGACACACAAAATTTTCTCTCATGTTGTCTTGCAGATTTTCAATTTTACAACTTGCACTTAGATCTATGATTTATTTTTAGTTAATTTCTGCATATAGCATGAGGTACTGAAGTTTGCTTGTGCTTTCTTTTTCCATATGGAGATACACTTTTCCCAGCAGCATTACTTAATTATTTGATAATTTAATCATCCTAGAACCTTTGTCACACATCAACTTACCATATATAGTTGTCTATTTCTGGGCTTTCTATTTTATCCTTTCATCCATATGTCTATTTTTATGATGATACCACACTGTCATGGTTACCATGCCTTTATATTAAGTCAGGGAATTTGGTAGTGTAAGACCTCCATCTCTGTTCTTTTCCAAATGGCCTTGGCTATTTTATGTCCTTTGCATTTCCATATGAGTTTTAGAAATTGCTTTTCATTTTGATTATGATTATGGCAAATCCCTAGATGAATTACTAGAGAATTGTCACCTTAAAACTTTTTGAGTCTTCTGATCCATGAACATATCTCCATTTATTGAACACTTCTTTAATTTCTTTCAGCAATATTTTATAGGTGTCTGTGTACCAGTCTTGCACAGGTTACACCAAAATTCTCAGTAGGTATTCTATTTATTTTACTGCTATCGTAAGTGGCATTGAAGAAAATTTCTATCTCCAGGTATTTGTTTCTGGTATCTTGGAATAAAAAGGACTTTTTGTTATATTGACTTTATGTCCTGCGACCTTATTAAATTGTTTCTTAGATCTGGGAGATGATTTCTGGGTTTCTTTCCCCCTAGATTACTATTTTCTCTATAGACAATCATGCTTTGTGAAAATAAAGACAGTTTTGACTTTCTTCCTTTTCTATCTGCATGCCTTTTGTTTCTTTTTCTTATCTCATCAAATAGAACCTCAAATATAATGTCAAATTGGCACAGTAAGAGTGGACATTCTGCAATATTTCTAAACTTATGGGAGAAGCATTCAGTCTTTCAGCATCAAGTATGATGCCAACAGCAGGGTTTTTTGGCAGACTAACTTTATCAAGTTGAAGATGCTCCCTTATGCTCTTAAGTTACTAGATGTTTTTATTGTGATTGGATATTCTATATTATCAAATGATTGTTCTGTCATATTGTGATAATCATTGATTTTCTTTCATTCCCTTAGTATGGCAAAACAGTGATATAGTTTTTAAATGTTAAAATGACCTTGGGGGCGCCTGGGTGGCTCAGTCAGTTGAGCGTCCAACTCTTGATTTCTTTCAGCTCAGGTCATGATACCAAGGTCGTGGGATCAAGCCTCATTGGGCTTCACACACAGCATGGAGCCTACTTAAGATTCTCTCTCCCTTTGCCCCCTCCCCCACTTGGGCGCTTTCACTCTTTCTCAATAAAATAAAATAAAATAAAATAAAATAAAATAAAATAAAATAAAATAAAATAAAATAACCTTGTATTCCTAGGAAAAACTGTGCCTGGTCATGGATTATAACGTTCAGATATCATTGGATTCAAATTTCTAAAATTTCATAAGTTTTACATCTATGTTCATCAGGGATACTGATCTGTAGTGCTTTCTTTCCCTTGTAATGTCATTTTCCATTTTTATTTTTTATTTTTTTGTATAAAAGTAATGCTGCCCTCATGAAATGAATTGGCAAGTGTTCCTCCTGGATTTTCTGGAAAAGCTCTGTAGGACTGCTAGTATTTTTCTTTTGTTTTCTTTTAAATGTGTGATACTATTCACCAGCGAAGCTATCTAGGACTGAAGTTTTCTTTATGAAAAAAATCTTGAATTACAAATTCAATTTTCACATATTGGTGTATTTTCTAGTTTTTCTCCTGCTACTAATTTCTAGTTTCACTCCATTGTGATTGGAAAAAATGCTTTGCATGATTTCCATCTCTTGAAACTTATTAATACTTGTTTTGTGGACTAACGTAAGGTTTCTGCTGGAGAATGTTCCAGATGTACTAGAGAAAAGTGTGTATGTTTTTGTTTGTTTTGGAATGGAGTGCTCCGTATGTTTGTTAGATACAATTGTTCTATAGGGTGGTCCAAGTCCTGCATTTCCTTTTTGATCTTCTGCGTGGTAGTTCTATCCATTACTAGAAGTGACTATTGAAGTCTCCTATCATTGTAGAGCTGACCATGTGTTCCTTCAATTCTGTGCATGTTTTCTTCATATATTTTGGAGTTCTGACATTTGGTGCAAATATGGTTATAATTATTATGTATTCCTGGTTCATTTACCCTTTTATCATTATAAAATGATCTTCATTGTCTCTTTTGACAGTATAGCTCCTTTTATTTTAGTTACTATTTACAGGGAAAATCTTTACCCATCCTTTCACTTTCACCTTCTGTGTGTCCTTGTACCTTAAGTGAGTTTGCAGTAGATAGCATTTAGTTGGATCATTTAAAAAAAATCCATTCTGCCCATCTGTGTCTTTCAGTTGGAGAGTTTAATACATTTAATAACATTTAAAGTAAGTGCTAGTAGGGAAACACTTTTTTCATTTCATTATTTGTTTTCTGTATTATAGTTTGTCCCTTATTTCCTCCATTACTTTCTTCCTTAAGCCTAGTTACTTTTTGTAGTTTCACATTTAGATTTCTTCTTGTTTTTCTGTGTGTATACTCAATAGATATTTTCTTTGTGCCTACTACAGGGATTGCATAAAACATCCTGAAGTATGACAATCTATCTTAAATTGATCCCAATTTAACTTCAATTGCATACAAACTCTAGCCCTTTACAGTTTCACCTCCATTTTTATATGATTGATTTCACAAATTTTATATTTATATATTATGTACCTATTGACATGGGCTTATTATTTTTATGCATTTGTCATTCATACTCTATAGAAAACAAAATAGAGTTACAAATGAAAATTACAATAACATAAATTTTTATGTGCCCATATATTTACCTTTACTGGATAATTTATATTATCATATGGCTTCAAATTACTGTCTAGAGTCCTTTAGTTTCCACTTGAAGGACTCCCTTTAACATATCTTGGATGGCAGGCCTAGTGGTAATGAATTCCATCAGCTTTTGTTTCTTTTGGAACGTCTTCTTTGTCATTTTGAGGAACAGTGTTGCTGGATATAGTGTTCTTGGTTGACAGTGTTTTTCTTTCAGGACTTAAATATATCATCTCACTACCTTCTGGACTTCAAGGGTTCTGCTGAGAAATTTGCTAATAGTCTTCTTAGAGGTCCCTTATACATAATGAACCACTTTTCTCTTGCTCTTTTGAAGATTCTCTTTTTGTCCTTGGCTTTTGACAGGTTGATTACAATGTGTCTTGGGGTGGATGTCCTTGTGTTTATCTTGCTTGGATCCTTCAGGGTCTTGGATTTGAGCAGTTATGTCTTTCTTCAAATTTGGTATGTTTTCATCCATTATCTCTGAATAATCTCTCTGCATGCTCCCTAACCCTTCTGGAACTTCTGTAATGCATATATTGTTCCACCTGGTGAAATACTAGAAGCCCCTTAGTCTTTCTTCAACTTGATTCATTCTTTTTCCCTTTTGCTCCTCAGACTCAGTAATTTCAAATCAACTCTGTTCAAGTTTATTGATTGTTTCTTCTGTCTATTTGAGTCTGCTGTTGAAAACCCTCTAGTGAATTTATCATTTCACCCATTGTATTTTCCACCCCTAGAATTTTTGTTTGGCACTTTAAAAACTAATTTATCTTCGTTGTTATTAGCCTTTCGTTCATATATCATCTTCATGATTTCCTTTAGTTCTTTATCTGTATTTTCCTTTAGCTCTTTGAACATATTTAAAAGAGTTCTTTTAAACTCTTGATCTAGTAGTTTTGATGCATGTGTTTCTTTAGAGACAGTACCTGGAGATTTCTATCTAACTATCTATCTGTCATCTATCTATCTATCTATCTATCCTCTTTTTAATGGACCTTATTTCCCTTCCATTTACCTTGCTCTTCTTCTATATTATATTTATTGATTTGAGGCCTTTGTTCTTTTATAATATAAAAACTTAGTGCAATAAAATTTCCTCTAAGTGCCACTCTATATCTGCATCCCTCAAATTTTGTTTGTTATGCTGTGCTTTCATTTTCATTCCAATTAAAAATATTTTGCAATTTCCTTTGTGATATATTCTCCAGCCCATGGGTTATTAAAATATTTTCTGCTTAATTTACAAGTAATTTGGGATTTTTAAAAAAAATTTTTTTTTCAACGTTTATTTATTTTTGGGACAGAGAGAGACAGAGCATGAACAGGGGAGGGGCAGAGAGAGAGGGAGACACAGAATCGGAAACAGGCTCCAGGCTCTGAGCCATCAGCCCAGAGCCTGACGCGGGGCTCGAACTCAGGGACCGCGAGATCGCGACCTGGCTGAAGTCGGACGCTTAACCGACTGCGCCACCCAGGCGCCCCATTGGGATTTTTATACTATGTTTATGTTATTGCTTTCTCGTTTAATGCTGTTACAGCTCAGAAAACCTGCTCTGTATGATTTCAGCTCCTGTAAACTTCTTGAGACTTGTGTTAAGACCCAACACAGGCTCTGTCTTCATGGAATATACAACTTTGCCTCTGGTTATATCCTTTGGTATGATGTCTCTGATAATCATATACACACTCAGCTATTTCTCAATTAGTATTTGTATAGTATACCTTTTTTTTCACCTATTCATTTCTAATCTATTTGCATATTTGTATATAGTATACGTCTAAATTTCTTCCAAACTGGAAACTGAACTCCTTCCAAACCGTTTTCTTCCAGTGTGTAGGTCCTTTAAATTTAGTGTAATTATCAATACATTTTTTTAAACTACAAACTTGATAGTAGCTTACTATTTGTCACATTTGTTCTCTGTTCTTTGTTCCTCGCATTTATGTTAGCTATAACTATTATATTTTACTACCGTGGCTACTCTTGGGCTTACAGTATGCACCTTTAATGTATCATACTCTATCTTCAAATAATAGACACCATTTCACATACAATGAAATTTCCTCCTCTGGAATTTTGGAGCATGCTTTGCATATATTTTGCTTCTATGTAAGTTGTAAATGCCATTACCCTTTCATATTAATTTGTTATAAATAGACAATTATCTTTTATAATTTTTAATGAGAAAATATTATATATATGTGTGTGTGTGTGTGTGTGTGTGTGTGTGTGTGTGTGTGTGTTATTCCTTCATTCCTTTTGGCCAATCCAAGTTTCCATGTAGTATCATTTTACTTCTGACTGCAGAATTTCATTTAACTAACTTTTCTTTTCGTGAAGATGTGTTCATGATGATCCACTCAATATTATTTGGCTCTAAATAGCTTCAATTCCCCATTTTTAGAACAGTTTATCAAGATATAATTCACATACCATTCAACTAACTCATTTAAATTTTTCAATTCAATTTATTTGAGCATATTTAAGAGTTGTGCAGCTATCACTATAATAAACATTAGAATATTAATACATTTTAATAATGAACTTTAAAATGTAATAAGTTTTAATAATAAACTTTATAATATCTCACTAGTATGGCAAGATGGGAGCTTGCTGGGGCAGGAAGATTGAATGAGGTGGTCTGCAGGTGAATGCTGGGGCAGGGCAAGTGGTACTAGCAAGATAGATGGAGAGTGTCAAACCCAGCTTTTGCAAGTGTATGGTTGTCTAGGCTGAAGGAGGGCAAGAAAAATGGTGCTCACCATCACTTCCATCCCAAAGGGAGCTCCTACAGATCCCTCTGCCTCCAGCACACATCCTAAAATTAGTCAATAAATCTCCTTCACATATAACCCAGGTATTATTCAAACCGATGCTTCTGTGCTTGGTCTCATGCCAAGTGATATGGTATACTAACTCTTTAAGAGCAAATACTTTGTTTCCCATAGCCATCCAGCTCTTCTTGAGGTAAGCCCCATTGATTTTTTATTTTTAAAGCCAGACTTTATGGGGAGTTGTCTTCTCAGGACAGGTCCCAAGGGCCAGGGGTGCTCAATTTGGGGCTTTATCCCCTTACTCCTTTGTTCCTCCACTCTTCTGTACTTGTGATATCCTTCCTGTCTGGTGGTTTGGTTCCTGACTGCATCTCTGCCCTTCCTACTCTTTTCAATGTAGACTTCTCTTTATGACTTTAGTTGTGGAAGATCTGCTCTTCCAGTCTTCAGGTCATGTTCAGAGTGAGTTGCAATACATGTAGTTGTTGCCTCAGTGTGTCTGAAGGAGGTGGTGAACTCAGTTATCTTCCTGCTCCATCATCTTCCTGAGTGCTTTTCAGTACTTCATTTGTTTTTATGGCCAAATAACATTCCATTGTGTGGATATATCCCATTTTATGTATCCATTCATCAGTTGAAGGGCATTTGGTTTGTTTCCACTTTGGGGGAATCATATGCAAGCTTTTGTGTGGATATATATTTTAATTTTTCTCAGGTAAATACCCAGGACTGGAACTGCTTTGTTACATGATAACCCTGTGTTTAACATTTGAGGGAATGGCAGACAGTTTTCCAAAGTGTATGCACCACTTTACATTCCAACCAGCAATGTTTGAGGGTTGACATTTTTCCACATCCTCAACAACAATGATTTTTCATCTTTTTTATTTTAGCTATTCTAGTGGGTGTAAAGTAGGTCCTCACTATGGTTTTAATTTGCATTTCCCTAAGGACGAATGTCATCAAGCCACTTTTAATGTGTTTATTGGCCATTTCTCTATCTTTTGGGGAAAATGACTATTCACATCTTTTCCTCATTTCTCAATGAGGTTATATATTCTATTATTGGTTTGTAAAACTAATTTATATCATCTGGATACAAATACTTTCCCCATTCTGCAAGTTCTCTTTTCACTTTCTTGATGGCATTATTTGCAGGAAAAAGCATTTTTTAAAATCTGATGAACACTCTCCAGTTCCATCCACGTTGCTACAAAGGGCCATATTTCATTCTTTCTCATTGCCACGTAGTACTCCATTGTGTATATAAACCACAATTTCTTTATCCAT